AGGCTCCACAGCTTTGAGGGAGCATTGCTCACATCCATGGCTGATGGTGACATGAGATCATAAGAAGAGCCCTGCTGGATCAGAGCAATGAGGGTCCATCTAGTCCAGTGTCCTTTTTCACAGAGTGGCCAACCAGTTGCCCTGGAGCGCCAACAAACAGGGCACAGAGGCCAAGGCCTTCCCCTGATGTTGTTTTCCAGCATCAGCCTTCAGAGGTTTACTGCCTCTCTCGCAGATCATTAATGCCGGTAGTCTTGGAGTTTGTTCTCCCTATTCATTACCCCTCCTCCCCTTGCATACCTCCATGGTACCGTATATCGCTAATCTGACAATCCCAGTTTTTAGGAGGGTTTTTATGCTTGCAAGGTTCAACCTTTTCCCCTCAGTAGTGGTCTCCGGTAGATATAGGGGTGTTCCGTACAAGGATAGACTTTGTAACTGTAATCTTGGGGAACCTGATTCTATCACCCATATTCTCTTTCGTTGTCCTAAATATTTCGCTATGCGCAATGTTTTGATTCGCCCGCTTCTCCCTTTGTAGAGAGATTTTCTGGATAGGGATTTAAATTTCTTTCTAGCAGACAAGAGTCCAGCAATAACACTATCTGTCGCTGAATTTTTGACTTATGTATGGAAGTCAAGAGTAGTGCTTTGTAAATCTTGTAAACCATGTTAGGATTGCTTTGTATTTTGAGATATTGGGAATATTGGTTAACGTTGTTTTAGCACTACCCCTTAAACTTTTCCTTTGTTCTGGTTTATCTATGTTATGCCAATAAAGGTTTTCTGTTCTGTTACTGCCTCTGAATGTGGAGGTTCCTTTTATTAACCGTGGCCTGTTATAAGCAGCTTTGGGCTCCCAGTGGGCAGAAAGGCAGAACATAAATGAAGCAAATAAATAATAAATCTAACTGAAGACAAAAGGGAGGTTGTTTTAGTGTGTGAGAAGGAGAGCAGGGGAAGGTGAGGATATGGTGGTTACCAGGACGAGATAAAGAGGAAATAGTGTGGGGAGGGGGATTCAAGGGAAAGTGACAGGCCCCATGCAAGTCCTTGCGGGTTCCCCACTGTACAACTGGATCTGGCGGCTGGCAGCACACAAGTAAGCCCAGCCCTGCGGACAGCACAATGTAGCTAGGCCATACTTTACCACGGTAAAGTCTGCTGGGGAAGTAAGGGAGGGAAAGCTGAAGACCGGGTGGTGGCAGATAAAGGTAGGCTGGCTGTGGGGTGGGAAAGAGAGAAGGAAGCAGCAAAAGGAGAGAGACTACCAGAGAAGGGAAAGA